CGCTTCTCGAGGGTCAAGGGGTCGAGGTGGGAAACGTATCGTTATCTTTCGACGATGTCGCTCGCGCGCGTAATTACGTGCGCGATTATTATCGTCGTCGCGGTAAATTGTAAATCGAGTGAAAATGAGATTGCGATCAGTTATCTGCAAAAATATGGGTATCTGGATAACAGCGGTGCACAGCGATTTTCATCGTCCTACAACACCACGCAGGAGTTATATCGAGCCGTCTCACTGTTTCAAGAATTCTATCGACTACCAGGCGACGGCGAATTAAACGAAGAGACGCTGAATCGAATAGGTAGAAAGAACTGAACATCGCTAAACCGCGATGCGGCGTGGAGGACGTTTCGGAGCGCACGTTCGCTCCGCTTTTGGACAAATGGCCGAGAAAACATCTCAAATGGAACTTTCATCTAGCCAACGACATATAATCTTGAAAACGACCCGAGCCGCGTTCGATCTGTGGGCAACGAATTCGTCATTGACGTTCGAGCGCGATTCGCTGAATCCCGATATTTTGATATCGTTTCGTGAGGGGCGTCACGCGATGCTATACTCCCGACGAAACGAACCGTGTTCGTCTGCGTTCAGAGGTCCTAACGGAAATGTCGCTCACGCGTTCTTTCCCACCGGAGACCCCAATTTCGTCTCGGAGGTGCACGTAGACAAAGCGGAGACGTGGCACATACAGCTGACTAAGAATCCCCCGGGGACGTACAATTTACTTCAGACGTTGACGCACGAGATCGGTCACGCTTTAGGCTTGCCGCACACCTTCCGCGAAGATTTGGTGATGTTCGCGTTCAACTTACTCTAGAGGACGTTCTTTCCATTCAACACCTGTACGGCGCTAAAGAAAACGCTAAAGTTCCAAAAATAATAACGACGACGACACCAACGACTACCACAACGACGACGACGATAGCAACGACGACTACGAAAGACGTTGAGATGGATCTGTGCACCTTGCGAAACGTGGATACCGTATTGATAACGAACGGTTGATTGTACATCTCGCACGAACGATACGTGTGGTCAATCGATATAGACGGGAAAACGTACAAGAAACCCTTGCTATTGACGGACTACATGAAATTTCTTCCTAAGAATTTCACGCGTCTGACGGCCGCGTATCAGACGCCCCGGGCAATATCATGCTGTTCGCGGACAATATGAGCTACATGATCACTTATCCGCGTCTAACGCTAGTTTCAACTTGGCCGAAATCTTACACAGATCTCGGAATTCCCGATACCGCCAGGAAGGTCAACGCCGTGCTGAACACGAACGAAGGACGAACCTTCGTTATATACGACAATAATGTTGTGGGCGAGATAGACGATTGTTCGATGAATATTGTAAGTACTACCACATCAACATGATATTTCTGGGAATACCTCACAGAGTATCGTCGGCTTTTCGATACATCGACGGCAATCTGTACTTTATCAGTAAAAACCGATTCTACAGATTCAACGAATTTACGAAAACCGTAACGGCATCCGGCAAATTTGATCTTGGGATCTTTGGTATTACCTGCCCGAGACAGGGACTGATGATGCAACTGCGAGATCTATTGAGTCGATTCGTTCGAATTGACGCGAGGAAGACGTCGAATAGAGAAGAGGAAGAATAGAACGATTCGACGTATCCCCTCCTTTACATATCACTCCTGAGAATGTTAATGAAAGGAGGAAGAATCGTAATTTATTTCTTAAAATATATTTCGCCTCAACTTTCCTCGAACGACTCATTCTCGCGTAATCCGCCAACTGCACCGCGACAACGGAGAAAAAAAAAGAGAGAGAGATGTGTTCGACGTTACACGCCCCGTATTTCGAACAGCGCCAATCCGACGACGATCTCGAGAACGGCGTCGATAACGCGAAAAGAAGAAGAAGAGCAATCGACGAGCAATCGACGGAATTAGAGACTCCGTTTTCGAATCGGGACAACGTCGACTGCTGGAAAAACATGTGGTGAGTTCGCGACAATCCCGTATCGCTCGCCTACGATATAACAATAATTTTTTTTATTATTTTCAGTCATAGCAACGACGACGTCAGTACATCGAAACGTGACGCCGAACGTCATCCGGTGCGAATTCTGGAAAGAAGATACCTATTGACTAAGACGGGGTACAAATTCATAGACGTCGGTATCACAGCCGTACTCCCGTGTTATATACACATCGTCATAGGAGATTGTCACGGCAAGGAGATCTCACTCTCGCCTGAAACGTGGAAGGAACTCATCAATCGTAAACGCGCGGTGTTGTCCCATCTACAGCGCGGAAAGAACGAGCGCGCTCCACCACCGATGTGCTTCGAAAACGGAAAACTGAAATTACGATTTAGCAAGATTAACACTCTGTCGACCCTACGCCTGGAAACGTCCACGACTCGTATGATCGTGTCGACGAACACCGTCCTCCTCATGTTCGACCTAGAACTTTGCGTCAACAGCCTCGTGAATTCGTTGCGCGCGATCATCAACACGATCGACGCGAAGCTGACGCGCTTCGTCGCTATTGCGGCCACCGTGACGGATCCCGCGAACGTCCCAAGAGCGATACGCGAGAGCGAATTCTTTGATCGCAATGATATCGTTGACTGCGAGTTAGTCGCTCTGTGTTTCGAGAATATTGAGAAATTATTGTAATCACATATTATTATTATTAAAAAAATAAAGAGAGAAAAAAACCCCCCCTATGGAACCTCGTTCGATTATTTTTTTCTCCTCCTCCTCTCCAATAGAATCACATACGGATAAAGGAAGAAGTATGACAGCAAAGGTTAGAGAATGATAAAACATATATTTTGTTTTTCAAATACACATAAGTTTACATTAAGGCGAACAAAAAAATAATATGTATAGAAACTATAACACCGCCGTTTTATTTATCCATGAGTTATGCGAACTGTTCATCCCTAACCACTTCACGTATACGTCGTCGCCTCGCCTGCGCAACACTTTCTCCACGAGATAAACGTCGGGGTCGGAAACTCGCAGCATCTCATGCTCGTAAAATCCTCCGGCTATCGGTTCCCCGCGGTAGTCTTTCAACAGATACGTCACAGGATTGGTACGTTGTACTTTAGCGACACGGAAGATCTCGGTAGTCCAGTTGGGGGTGTAGCCCTTTTCGAACAGCGTCTTGAATTTGCTCACGCGCACCGGATCGTTCACCCTGAATCTACCCGGAGTGGCGATCTTCGCGCGACTGTACACCGTGGACAAGAGTCTCTTGGCGACGGCGGGTGTCACGTCCACCAGTCGCATCCCGATCGTTCTATGCCTGCGGTGGTTGTAATTCGTCAGCAGACGCGGCAGCGCCTCGACCCACGCGTACGATCCGTTGAGCGTGAAGAGTTTCCACATGTCGTTCTTCAGCGTGCGATTGAATCTCTCCACCACCGACGCCTTCATCACCGAGTACGTCGAGTAGTGATTTATATCGCGTCTTTTCATAATCTCTCGCACGTTAGCGTTGTAGAACTCCTTTCCCTTGTCCGTTTGCAGATTCCTCGGATATCGCGCGTCCTCGCGAAATATCCTCGACAGGGCCGCGGCTACTTCGCTTCCGCTTTTGCTCTTGAGCGGTAACGCCCACGCGTACTTGCTCAACACATCGATAACCGTTAGTATGTAATAATAATCTTGTTGTCGCGCGTAGAGACGCATCTCGACCACGTCGGCCTGCCACAGATCGTCGTAACCGCGCACCACGACGCGACGTCGCGGGAAGTTTCTCCGCGCCGGTGCGTGCAGCTCCTCCACGAGTCTTCGCTTCTCGGCACTCATCGTTGCGCGCGTGTATTCCTCTCTTGACTGCGCAAAAAAAAAAACGGCTCATCACCTCCTTATTGACCTTTCCCCCTGTTACCGCGAATGTTCGCTATCTCTCTCTCGAACGATTCCTTCGTCACCATCGCTGTTTCAATCTCGCGGAATTTGGCTAGAAAATCGTTCATCGCGATCTGCGCGCCGAGTATCTGCCCCGTCTGCGTGGATTTAGAGTTTTCCAAGTTCTGTATCTGGTTTTCAATCTCCTCGAACTTGGCCAGAAACTCGTTCATCGTGACTCTGAGTCCGCTCATGACGTTGTTTTCAGTCTCCTTGAATTCGCTCAACGTGGTTCTGAGTCCGTTCACGTCGCCGTTTATCCTATCTACCTCACTTTTCACCGACGACAACGATTTATCGATCTCCTATCCAATTCTTGAAGCGCGCGTTCGACGTAACTCTTGTTCGTCGCGTCGCTGTCGAGCTCCTGCGCGGCTAGACGTCGTAGCTTGCGCTCCCTCGCGTCGTAGGAATCCTCGTTCAAGCAAAGCGCGCTGTCTCGTACGTAGTTCCGCAGGGAGTCGATAGAGAATCGCGATCTTTCCGTCGCGAATCCGCCGCCGTCGCTGCGTTTCCTCAGAGACATTCCGAATTTGTTCACCGACATTGCGCCGATCTCTCGTCGAGAAACGTACTGCCGTCGCGATCGACGCGACAGCTCAATTTATAATCAATCCGATCTCGCAAAGCTCCTCGATTATCGACTGAATCTCGTTACCGTGCGCGTCGTTGCCCGCTTGACGAGAGGCCTTGAGTAATCGCAGACGATCCACCAATTCGTTAGGATCGTCCCAATAAACGTAATCCATTGTATTGTCATTCAATTTCATGATCGACGGTAATCTGGTCACGCCAGCGCCCTTTCTATTACTGCCGATTCTATTGCGCGATACCAACGGAGCGATGATTTTCGTGTATTTTTGTCCCCTGTTGCCCATGATGGGGTTAAGAGCATTATAATCGCGTTTGTAAGCGTTTGTCGCTAACAGTATATTTCTGTACTTTTGCATGTCGTCCTCGGTGTAAATTGCACCATCGGGATATCTCTTGAAGATTAATTCATACAAGCCGGGCGTGCCCGTGGTTCTCACTCCGTCCACATTCCGTTCTCATTCCGATCAGGGAATCGTCCGCGTTCACCTTGAACCGTTTGTCACCGAGCATCGTGCCGTCATTCCCGACGTACACACCGTAAACGATATCGAATTCATTTTGTGGGTCCCCGTTTAGAAGAGCGCCCACGTATCTTTGTCCCAACGGACCCAATTGACTGTGCAGTTCCTCGTGACTCTGCGGCGTTTGTAGAACGTCCTTTACGGGTGTTTCGGGGGGGGGGGGCAACGGCGACGCGAAAACTTCCAGCTCCTCCCCCATCCGCTCGTGCAGCGATAATTTTCGCGGTTTCAGAGGCGTGGAGTGGATCAGGAGCATCTCTGACTCGGCGCTCGTTTGTTTTTTCCTCTTCTTAGGTCTCGATATTATTTTTCGCGCGACTTTTCCTTTGTCGTCGTCGTCGTCGTCGACTTCGTCTTCGCTTTGCTCGCGTTTCTTTTTAATAACGAAACCTTTCGTCGTCGCCGCCGCCGCCGCATTGTCGTTCTTGGATTCGCCTTTTTCGACGTGTTCGACGATTTGTTTCAACGGGTCGACGATCGGTTTGAATTGTCTCTCGAGAGCCATCTCGTTCTCCATACTGCCGGTTTTCAACGCTCTGTATTTTCTGCGTATCGACGCGCGCGTTTTAGCGATCTGCCGCGCGGTCTTCTCTCGGTCAACGGTGTCTTTCGCGTCGCTCATCGCTCTCGGAACGTTCGACAGCTACTGATCGCTCTACAGTATGGCAAAGTCGTTGAATCCTCGTCTGTATCTGCCGTTTTGTAGCGCGCTGTCCTTGTCTATCACCACGAACCCGTACCTGCGCTGCCAACACTCGCGACACAACGCGCAGAAATCTTCATACGACATATCGGGGCTCACGTAATCGTCGTACACGTGTTTTAGATTAGTTCCGTCTTGTCTAAACAGGATTAACAGATTTGCGTTGTCGTGTATTAGATGTTTCGGTACTTTAGCGTACGTTTGACAGAGGTAAAAACAATCGATATTCGAATGTCGACCCATGGCGAAGTACTCTCTGATTGCGTCCTGTTTGTCACAGGCCACGTCGTCGAACACGAATATCGAACCGGGGAGCGCCTCGCTCGGCAGCACGACGTCGCGATTATTGGAGAACGCGCGATAACCGATCTCGTCCATCGATTCGAGCAGACTCTCGAGGTAACGATACTTCGTTCGATACTAGCCGAAAAGGCGCGCGAGCGTATCACGGCGAGCGACACAACCCTTGACGAGAGAGCCGCCGCGACCGCCGTATGGGCTGCTATGAAAACAAAAACAAAATTGGGCATGAAAAAGAGGAAGAGGGGAGCGGTAACGAGGAAGAAAATTCTCCCGTTGGCGAAACGCGGGGGTCTCCTACCCTTTCTACCGATATTGGGGGCGCTCGGATCCCTGATCGGTGGAGCGGCTGGCGTGGCCAAGGCGGTGAACGACAACAAGGCCGCTCAACGTCAGCTCGAGGAACTGCAACGTCACAATCGCGCGTTGGAGGGTCGCGGACTGTATCTCGCGCCGTACAAACGCGGTAGTGGCGTGACGAGCAGAAGACAAACGAGAATGGGTAAAAAAAAACAATTGCCGAAAAAGACACTAATGACGCTCGATTTGCCAACGTTCGGCGTCACGACGAACGAGCAATTGAACCGGTCCGCGCGCCTTTCGCGCATATCTTTCTTTAGGGGCGTGTTTATGCGCGACGCGTTGCCGACGAAAGTGCGTCGCGACGAGAGCGGAATCGTGAATCTCGACGAGAAGAGCCCGGGTACGCACTGGGTCGCTTATGCGAAGAGGGGCAACAACGCGATCTACTTTGACAGTTTTGGAAATCTTCAACCCCCGAAGGAACTCGAACGATATCTCGGAAGTGACGTGAATATCGTGTACAACCGGCGTTCGTATCAGACGTTCGATCAGAGCATCTGCGGTCAATTGTGTCTGCGGTTCCTCCGAGACGTCGACTGGAAATGTCTCTGACGATGAGAGAGAATTCGCGCGCGAACCATCGTAGTGAGCGGACGTGTTTTCTCCTGCGTATTCTTGTGCTT